CTGTTTGCATCCATCTTTAAGATGGATGCTTTATACCTCTGGACCACATATTGTAGAAATGCGGTCCAGCCTGCATGAAACAATTTTCCTTAAATATACATATATATGTATATGTATGTGGATTTGTAAATGTATATATACAAACATATACATGTACAAATATTGTAAATGTATATATATACACAGACATACACATATGCAAATATATAATATGAGGCGTTCCCCCTGCTTACCATATATATGTAATGCATATATGGGAGATCGCTTCTAGGTAGCTCCTTGAGTAGCACTCCTCTGTGCTCCAAGGGTAGGGAGCTTCAGCCAAGGTTCGATTCCAAGCTCCAACACCCGCATGCTCACCCGCTTCTGTTCCCAACAATTATGAAGTGCTCCTAGTAGCCTCTCAATCGTCGTTCCCAAACAACATATGAATCCAACTCCTGTGTTATAGGCTTCACGATCCCTTACAATAGGGATTACAGAACCCTAGCTCAACTGAGCTTCCTACAGGTATGGAATGCATAGTTGTTGGGATCGGGAGCAGGAATGGTATCGGGATCGAGATCGGGAGTGAGGGATCGTGAAATGCAAGAAGATCCCTATAGTTGGGAATGTCGTCCTTACAATGCACATGTTAGGGATCGAGATCCCCAAATGTTAGGGATCCAGATTCCAACCTTTTGGGGATCTTGATCCCAACTTTTTGGAAATCTTTTTACCAACCTTAAAGTGGACGATAATCTAGGATTATGCATACTTTTTAAAATAGGGATCTCATTATTGATAGCAAGCAAGCAATAGTTGTGTTTCTAGTTGGATATAAACAAAGAAAATCATTAGTTTGGTTGTTGTCTTGGTTTTTAAGGATGGGATCGAGATACCTAACCACAGGAATTGGGATCCTTGTCAGTGGGGTTTGAGATCCCAAAATTTAAAAGTCAAGATCCCAGAGATCCCCTCTGGGAGTGACAGAATCAAGATCCTAGAAGGGATCGCCTACCAAAGCAGGAGATCTTGGTAACTATGATTGAATGTGATTCTCATAATTGTGGATCATGTTTCCCCATCAAACATGCTTCAGGAACTAAGGAATGTGATACCGCAGAAACATTGTTGCCTTGGCATCAGAATTGCAGTTACTATGGATCTGACAACTACATACATTAGGTGTTTGGTAGCATTCCAAGTGGTTTGTGAGAATGTAAACCTTACCTAGATAATGTTTTGATTAGCTAATGTTGTATTTTGTGTTCCTCCTATTGCATGCTTCTCTTTATGGTTGCAAATTTTTTGGGACCTTTTATTTGATGTGCATGGTTATAAACTTGCTTTCCTAATGAAATAGCAAATATGTTCGATATAGTTGGGTTTAAGTTTGGAAAACTATCTGATGGTTAACACTTTTTGGTTACAGATCTCTGCTGCTATATGCTTTTTACGTGGCAAGGCACATGAAGCTTTAGAGAATCGTTCTCAAGCTCTACAATGGTGACTATTATGATTCATATTGGATTTGAATTGGACTATTTTATCATTGTTCACTTTGAGTTTTCAACTGCTGTTATAACTAAATCGTGCAAATTTAAATTTTTGATGTAGAAATTTCATACTATGTAATCATACCTGAATGATTCTTGTTCTTTGGGATTCTTTTGAGAGGTCTTGCTAGGGACTAGAAGCATTTGAAACCCATCTATATCTAATAAGATGGTGGGAATTTCGTAAGCAAACTATGTACCTGTGATTAAAGCCACTCATTCTTCAGATGGAGATACAACTCTTGCTTTCTGCATTCCATGTTATCATAAGTGCTTATTATGTCATTCTCTTAAACAGTGGTGCATTGCTTATGCTTATGGAGAGTTTATTTTAATTAGGTACAAAGCTGCTATCAAGGCAGATCCTTATTGTTATGAGGTATGTGCATGTCGAGGAGTATGGTTGCCGTAAATTATACTGTGTATAACACCTTGCAAAATTGTTGTATTTAATCAAATGGCATAGAGCCGACACCTATCTTTTGTTTTGTGATTATTAAGAATTGTTCCATTTCTGTGCTGTATTTCTCAGGCTCTAGAGTGTCTGATTGACAATCACATGCTGTCATTTGAGGAAGGTAAAACTCAAAATTTTGAATGCCTCCTAGCGGCTTTCAAGCAGCCTGTAAACTCAACTAATGTAGTTTCCACTGATCTTCCAGAAGTCAATCTTTTGTCAACATTGCAGTTTGCTCCGGAGGATGGATGGCTCTCTGTATTCTATTCTTGTTTAATAAAAAAGGTCAAGAATGTCTTTTACTAGGCTCTTGTGAGAATGATAGAATGATGGGTTGATGCTTCCAGTAATTTTGGAAAGTTTGCTTCAATAGTTTCCTTGTGCATATTTCCTTTTGTTTTCCGATGTAGTCTTGTTTATTTCAACATGCAGTATGATAAAGAATATGTTGTAGAAGCAAGGTTCACAGAGCTAGAAAGAGAGCCATGTGTTTCGAAATCATCTGAAGTCTCCGTTAGTGGCACTCTTAAAGACAATACAGATCTGTTGGCCTGCAAAGCAGAGTACTACCATCAATGTGGAGAGTATCAGAAATGCTTTGAGTTGACTACAATGTAGATTTGCATTATACTGATCCGCTGTTTCTTTGTCTGGTTTGTTGATAATAAGATTCGATTGAAATCGAGTAATGGACTGTTTACATTCTGCTTTTCAGGCTTCTTGAAAGAGATCCTTTTCATCTGAAATGTACGTTAGTGCATATAGCCGCTGCAATGGAGCTTGGCCATGCAAATGAACTCTATCTGATGGCTTGTAGTTTGGTGAAAGATTATCCTCAAAAGTGAGTACGTGCCTGTCATTGTTTGTATGCCATAGATTCTTTGCCCGGGACATCTGAATCTGACTAGCAAATTCCTTTCTTAGACTATCATTTCATAGAGTTTCTTCATCTTACACTGGCAGTTTTGTGACTAGACAAATGAATCTTAAGAGTCTAACACCAAACTTTGTGTTGTATTGTTTTTCATTTGATGCATGATGTACTCAAGTTGAACTCTCATTCGATGTTTTCTCAAAAAACATTGTTGACATGCTGGCTGCTAGTTAGTCAATCCAAAGTTATGCTGTTCTCAATGAGGTTTCATGGAAATGTTTTTCCTTTACGATATGGAGAATGGAAGGAAAGAATTAGTAGAATCACGTAGGAGGCTAGCGCTCTAATGTGGACTCCATGTAGCCTAGGATGTTTTGTACTAGGGTTTTGCTTGTGGAATCTACTAAAGAAAGTAACTTAATAATTTATTGAAGAGTAACATCTTATTTTGGATACTTTAGCTGTCTACATTAGTTATTGTCATAGCTTTGATCTCACGTCTAGAATTTTTATGCCATATCTGAACACAAATTATGAAAAACTTGATGAAAATGATGTCTAGTTTGTACTTCTTGTTGGCCCGACATGTTCATGCTTTTGAGGAGCTAGATGCCCAAATTATTCTGGACCAGATCTTAAACTCATAATTAGTGTCCTTAACTTCATGAGACCTTGAGGCATCATCATCATCATCATAGCGTTTTGCCAATTAATTGAGGTTGGCTACACGAATCCTGGTTTGCCATGCTGCTCTATTTAAAGCCATACCCTTAGTGAAGCCATAAGTCCCTATAGCTTTACTAACTACTTCAAACCACGTCCTTTTGGGTCTACCCCTTACTATTTTCAATCCTTCCACTTGAACTAATTCGCACCTCCTAACAGGTGGTATATTGGGTCGACGCCACACATGGCCAGCCCACCTTAGTATACTCTCTTTCATCTTATTGCCTATTGGTGCTACATTTAAACTTTCCCGAATGGATTCATTTCAGATTCTATCCCTTCTTGTCGTGCCACTCATTCATCTCAACATCCTCATCTCCTCTACACTCATTTTATGGATATATTATTTTTTGTTCGTGCAACATTCTGCTCCATAAAGCAAAGCTGGTCTCACAACTGTCCTATAGAACTTACCCTTCAGCTTCATTGGTATGCGGTGATTACATAAAATTCCAGTTGCACATTTCCACTTCGCCCATCCAACTCCAATTCTATGTGCGACATCTTCCTCAATCTCTTTATTTTCCTGGATTATAGACCCAAGGTATCGACAATGCGGTCTTTTTGTACTTCTTGGCCGTCAATCTTAACTACTTCCTCATCTCTACTCGTATTACTACTAAACTTGCATTCCATATACTCTGTCTTTGTCCGACTAATTTTAAAACCTTTAGATTCTAGAGTATCCCTCCAAAGTTCTAACTTTGTGTTGACGCCGTTTCGGGTCTCATCAATCAAAACTATGTCATTTGAACAACAGGCACCACTGTACCTCATCCTATAGGTGCCTAGTTAAGTCGTCCATAACTAAGACAAAGAGGTACGGGCTCAATGTTGATCCTTGATGTAGATCTATTGTTACTGAAAACTCACTCGTCTCTCCACTAGTTCGCACACTAGTTAGCGCTCCATTGTACATATCTCTCACCAAGTTGATGTAGTGTTTGGAAATTCCTTTCTTTTCTAACACCCTCCAAATCAAATCTCAAGGTACTCTATCATAAGCTTTCTCTAGATCAATAAAGACCATGTGGAGGTCTTTTCCCTTCGCCTTAAACTTCTCAATCAATTGCTTAAGTAGGAAAATAGTCGCGGTTGTTGACATTTCCTGGCATAAAACCAAATTGGTTTTCAGATACACTCATGAGACCTTGAGTATGAAACAAATTAGTATCATATCTATACTCCCAAAACTCAAGAACTATTTGTCAGTGTGCTTTCAAAAATTCCAGAAGCTCTTTTATGTCTTCACTTTAACTTAGCTTTTCCTTTGGGGTGAAATTATGTTGTTCATGGCCCACACTAGAATTAAGTAAAAGATCCTTGGATATTTAAAGGGGAGTGAGAGCTATGCACTGAGTTATTGGAGTGCCGACATGCATGTGCAAGGGTATATGGATGTGGACCACAAAGGTAATCTAGATGACCTGCTGTCAACTTTGTGAAAGAGAAGTTCACTAGTGCACCTGTTTGGCACTCCTGGACTTTGAGAAGAATTTTCTAGTGGGGTGAGATGCTTTGCATATCTGTGTTGGACTAGCCTTAGCAGGAAGGCAAGTCTGTGGTCTTCTTTAGTGAAAATTTAAATGAGTCAAAGGTGCGGTATTCTATTTATTATGTAGAATTTTATGCTATTGTGCAAGCTCTTCATCATTAGTGGCATCATCTTATACAGAGGGAGTTTATCTTTTTTTTCAGTTTCATGAGGCCTTGAAATTCTTATATGCTCAGAAGAAGTTGAATTGAAGACATGCCAAGTGGATTTCTCGTGTAGGAATTTTCTTGTATGATTAGGCATAAGTTGGGAAACCAAAATAAAGTGGCTGATGTATTGACTAGGAGGTTTTACTTTGGTTTTGTAATTCTTCCACAGTTATATGCTAGTATCCCATATTGTTATATGATTTTTGATCAATATTTGCAGGGCAGCAAGGTTCCATCATTGAACATTGTTTTGCTGGATGGTTTTCTTTTCGAAGGAAGTCAATTATGTATTCCTAAAAGTTCACTGTGGACCAGATTGTGGTTGAGTTCCATGGCAGCGGCCTTGTGGGCATTTTGGATGAGACAAGACTATTACAATGGTGAAGGAAAAATATTTCTGGTGTCGACTCATGTGGGTTGTCAGTCAGTTTGTAGAGATGTGCAGGGTTTGTCAGCTAGCTAAACTCTGGATACTGGATTGTACATGCCTCAATTTATTTTTCAAGGAGGTGGTCTGGCTTCTTAAGCCCATTACTTCTAATCAAGATACGAGTCACTTTTGGCTAACTCTATGGAAGAAATTAGGCACTCACTTTAGTATAGTAATGCATATCTATCCTAGATAGATGGTGAGACTGAGTTTATTAACAGAAGCCTAGGAAATATGTTGCGGAATTTGTAGCAGACAGACCTTCACATGGGATCAGATTTTGCCACAAGTTGAATAATAGTTTAGTCTATTGGACCATGGAAAGGTTGCCCTCGATTTGGTGCCTATCCCAGAAGGAGAGCGAGGTATTGACAATGCTGAAGCCTTAGTCGAGCATCTTAAGGAGGCTCATGGACAGGTGTGAGAAAAGCTACAACAGAGCTATGCATGTACAAGAATGATGCTGATAGACACCAGCACGAGAAAGAGATCATGACGGTGGAATGGTGATGGTGCTTTCCTGGTGGAACATATCATAACTCAAATACGAGATTGAGGAGGAGCATGAGACGAAGGATTCATGGATTTTAGAGGAGGAACTGAAGAATATTGATGCAGAAGCACTAAATAAGTTAATGAATGATCAGAACTTGAGGAAGTTCTCTCTAACCACGTGTGACTGATTCATGCTGACTTCGCAAAGCAAATTTTATGTAGACTCTCAGAGTTTGTGATACATTTTTTGGCTTTGTTTGCTTGAGAAATCCTATGAAGTCAATTTTTAGCTCGTAGGTTTATGCTGCCGTTTCTAAAATGTGTTCATAATAGCGATTTAGGCATCAAAGAAAAACGCTATACCTAGGTATTGTTTGAGGATTTTTAAGGATGACTTTGTTTTAATTTATTTTTTCTGGGGCCAAAAAAGGTGTCAAAGTTCGGGTTCTATTTTAATTAGGAGTACTTGTTAGGATTACGATTAGGATTAGGGGGTCCAATAAGGTCTATAAAAGGAGTTTAGTTAGGGTTTTCATTTAATGTTTACTATTATTATTTCAGTACATGTTTCATAGAAATCCTATTGAATTTGCAGAGCTATTGAAGTTAGACTTATTAGCTACCCCTAATTTCCTGTCAATACATTATTTCTTTGATTTCTTTTCTGATATTCAAAATTGCATCGTTGAAAACCTAAGTTGTTTTATTAAGAAAAAACAGTTATATAATGAATCAAACCCTTTACCCTTCTATAACGGAGAAACCTACTAGAGTTAACATGTTAAAAAAAAAAAAACAGAGCAACCTGCTTTCTTCTCTCATCCAGATATGTCATCTCCTTCTCCAATCAAGCGACACACCATTCCCCTTAGAACAATCGCCCCTAGAGACATCGATTTAGGAAGCGTCACTCCTGATACACATTTGTGCTGTCATCTTCCTACACAAATTTGACTTCCTTCTTACTAGTTCTGCTACCTACTTGCCCAACACTGCCTTGCCATTGTACCATCAATGCCCCATTCTCAGAGACTGCCACATGGACTGGACGCCTTTCCCCATGCTCCTCTATTACATCTTCTCCCTACTACCTTGGATGAAGTTCCCTTTCCCCCTTTGCCCTTTGCACGTCCTTCCCCTTTCTCAATACCAATTTCTTTTAATTCCTTTTTTCCCTTTCTTTTCTTTCTGCCTTGTGATCCTGACACATTCACTTTATGTACTCTAAGTTCCTAGGCCTCTCTTGTGCAACTCTCAAATCCTCAAGGAGGGTCCACCCTTTGTAATTCTCTCTCCTGCCCCATGGCCATCAGCCACCATCTGGGGAGTTGTTTTTCTCCATTTGAAGACTCACATAAGGGATGAGAAGCCTTTTTCTTGCTGTCAAGCAGAGAAGGCCATGCTAGTTGGTTGCTGTTTCTTTGAATTTGTAATGGCCTTGGTTTTAACTTGCTGCATCAAATTGATTGATTCTTAAATTTTGATGAACCCACTCCTTGATGCTACCTGATTCTTCAATGAATGAAATGATATGTAACATCTCTTTCTGCATTTGTTATATGCCTCATTTTGGCTAATCCTCAACCTCTTGATTTAACTTTGCACTTTGCCTTAGCTGTCCCTCAAGGTGCCCCCAACCCCAGCGGCAGCAGGCTTTCCTTTGGTACTTGAATCAAAATTCAATGTAACTACTGCCCCTGGTAGAATTATTAAGTTTTTATACCTTGGGGGTCTTTTTGTGTGTAGAATTACCGACTTTGTATTTCTTGGGGGTCTTTGAACTTTTGTGTTGGTTATCTCTTTTTAGCATCTCTTGCATTGATTTGAGAGTCAGCCACAAAGATTCCCCAAAATTCCACTGGGAACTAAGTATTATAAATTTGTCATTTTGGCGTGAGCCTCTTCAATTAGTTTTGTCATTTCATTTGTTTTCATCATTTATATCATCTCTTCCAACATTTTCTGGATACCTGGTTCTGTATTCATTTAGAAGAAAACCAGAAATTGCGTTTTCATTATTGAAGTCTGGCTTTTGTATTCTATTACTACATTCTCTTGAAATAGCTTCCTTGGAGCTAGTCAATTTATTTATTTATTCCTCAAAAAAATGAATTCGTGCTTTAGACTGCCTAATCAGCCCCTAATCTAAAATGTGTAGAACATTTAACAATTACGTGAGACATTGCTGGCTTTACACATACACTCACATATCGATTCTTAACATTATTGATTATTGCACTTATTTCCTACCTCCCATGGTACAGATTGTCTAATTGTATGCTCACCTTTCAATACCAGAGCCTTGTCATGGTTTGCAGTCGGCTGCTACTACTATTGCATTAAGAAGCTTGATCAGTCACGGCGTTTTTTCTGGTATTATCCACTTCCTAATCAAAATGATACTTTGGTTCCTTTTCAGTACCTTGCTGCTTTATCTTTTTGTGTGAAAAATTGGTTTGATGTTTTAATATGATAATAAATGTGGGAAAAAAGCATCCATGGATTTGATGTGAGATGATCTTCTATTGGCATTGTCGGAGTAATTTCTAGCTGGCACCTGTATTCATCATAATGTGTTCTCTGAGTATATATTGTGATGGTAATGCCAATTGTCTCACTTTCTATGAACACAACCTAACGTTTTGAACTTATCTCGTGAAGAAGACTTGATGCAAAAAACATATTTACTCTTGTTATTCCTTTACTATTGTTTCCCTTCTCTGGTACAGTACATTAATGATTGTTTACCTGAAAACATATGCTTTCTATTACTTGAAGGCTGCATGCCCTTTTTATTCTATAAACAGAACCTGCCTAGTTCCTGAGCGAGTGTGAATTCGCCGGCCCTGTTTATAACTGCACTGTGCAGTCTTCAAATTGATTTGTACCTTTACACTTTGCTATACTTATTTTGGTAAAGGTGGCCATTTAGTTTATTTATTTATTTCTTCTTTTCAGCAAGGCCACAACTCTAGATGGGACTTTTTCTTCTGCCTGGATAGGATTTGGAAATGCTTATTCTGTACGAGAAGAAGGCGATCAGGCAATGGCTTCCTTCCGCACGGCTGCTCGCTTATTCCCAGGGTAAGGAATTTATGCTTTATTTGTTCCATCTATTTTGTGTTTCATGGTTGTGTAAACTTCTAAAGATGTTGCACATAAAAAAGAAATAGACTTAAATTGTTTTAATTATGCTTTATATTCATTATTGTTTATGTCAATTGTAATATATTGAATACTTGACTCTGATTTTAAACCCAAGCAGGAAGTATAACTTTTATAGCTCAATGCTCTTCCATTTTTTTGCATATGTATTAGGGCAGTTAAAAAGGTGCACTAGCTAAATGGCAATGATATTCTAGGGGGTAACTGTTGTAGCTTATCGCACATTGTAGCTTTAGGGAAGTATGTACACTTAAGCGTGTTTGGTGTTTGAGAACCAGGTAGGTTTGATTTGGAGGGGTACTTCCTCTGCTCGACTAGAGTTTTGGGATGGGATTAATGGGAGAGGGTAGTCAGATGTAGTTCTCGTTTGACTTTCAGTGGTGTGACTCGCTTATGAACCACTTTTGAGGACTTGTTTACTTTGCAGATATTTTCAGCTTCAAGATATGTAGTTTGCAAATTTTTCTAATTGTTTCAAAGGTGGGACATCAAGAAGCTGTGGGCCATTGTCTTTCTTGTGGCCTTTTTACAAGAACTATGTGAATTTTCTTTTTGATCTCTTGAGGTAAATTGGGGGATTTCCTCCTCTCTTAAATGGTCTTTTCCAAATATCCCCCCTGTTTACTTGAAATGGGTATGCATTTGCTGGGTCATGAATTTAGTGGCATTTGGAAAGAAAGAAACAATTGGGTATCCAATGGGCTTACTATTGTAAATAACTCAGTTATTCCATTCTTTTTAGTAATATCATAAATAAAATGATAGTCAATGTTGATGTGCTTGCCTTTTGAGCTATAGGCTCCATTCTCAATAATAAGAAAATAACTTGATTATGACAAAAAATTTGAATTGATCCATCGGCTATATCCAGCTTCAAATCCTTTATGAAACATCTAATGCAAACGGCACAAGTAGCAACAATGCTGCAAGCAATATACACATACACAACCTTGTTTCTTGCTTTACGAATAAGCACATCCACCTCCGAAGTGGATTACATGTCTTGAGTTTGATTTTCTATCACCTTGTTGTCCTGCAAAGTCTGCATCAAAGTACCCACTAACATCTAACTATCAGCTTGGAAGCACAATTTGTAGTTTTTGGTTTTTTGAATATGCCTAGGTATCCTTTTTATAGCTTGCTGATGAGCTATCCCATGATTACTTTGAAATCTACTTACAAGACAAAATGCATAACTCATATCAGGTCTAGTTTATAACATGACATACATTATACAATCTATAGCTTGAGCATGTGGAATTCTTTCCATCTTAGCTTTGCCACTGTCACTTTTTCTCTGACAATTTCATTCCTTTACAAATGGGTATATGTACAGGCTTACAATTTTCCATTTGAAATCTCTTTAAAATACTCTCTAAATAATTTTCTTGAGATAAAGATAAGATTCTTGTACTTCAATCTCTTGTTACCGTAATGCCTAGTGCGTAGGAGGCTTCTCCCATATCTTTCATCTCAAAGTAGGAACTTAGCCAATATTGATATGGTTAATCATGCCAAATCATTACGAGTTAACGAAATATCATCCCCAAATAATGTTTCTGAAAATTTAAATCAAGAAGCAAAGATGACTGAAAAATAGAAGCAAACAGCCGAGCAGATGTACTCTGATTTGCCTAGGGTTACCCCTATGGGATTTAGTACACCCCACATCAAATTTTCTCACCGATGGTACACTTTGATCACATTGGCCTTGCTGAATTTTTTGAGTTGTGAAGCTTTCTTAGGCAATACATCAAAAACTAGGATTTCATGAGAGCATAGGGCTAGATCTAGGGTTTTATATAACCCTTTGGAACTCTTAGGACCCTGCCACAAAGCACCACCCTTCTTCTTAGTGGCTGGGCGTGCCTCCTTTTTCAAGCCCTAGCGGGTGCCACCAAACCTTTAACAGTTTTTGAGATGGTGCATGCCACCCACTCTAGAGAAAGATAGACAAGAGTAGAGATCGAGAGGGGCGTGGAGGGGAGAGAGAGAGAAGAGAGAAAGAGAAGCTAGAAAATATGAGTGGAGAATGAGGTGGGGTTCCCATCCTTGTATGGGCCTTAAGGGCCCTAGGTATGCCTATCTAATTGTGACTCATCATGAAGTTTGTGACGTGAGAGGATTAAATATGAGCCACCCATCCCATAAATCAGGCATCATGATATAGGGAGGAATTTAGGAATTTTATCCCCTGAATCTTTGACCCATATCTACTTCTAGTCAAACTAGGATAAGATCAATCATAAAATAATCTTCTAAAACTTCCTTTATCATTAACAAAATTGTAGGAAGTGATAAATAGAGGTCAAATATGCAATATTTTCAAATGGAAAAGTATATAAAGAGACCATTGACTTTTGATACAAGGAGATCACAAGCATTCTCGTCTGTCAGATTTCAAATCTGGTGGTTATAAGAATGTCATTGACTAGACTTAAAGTTAAATTTTTTTTTTCTCAAACTTTGTGACACACCCTAGGCCAACTAATTTGACAGCTAATATATCTAGGCGTAATTTTGACGTCCTTGTAATAAAGATAAATGGTCTCAAAGTATACAATCCCTTTTCAAATAAGTATACAATCCCTTTTCAAATAAGTAACTCTTGCAATATGAGGATATAATATCCTTTCAAAAGAATTTCTAATAAACCAAAAGTTTTTCAAACTAAAATAAGAAATAAAAGAGGAGAGGAGGGGGCCGTGCCACCTTACTTGTGATGTGTGGGCCCCAAAGGCTCCACGCCCCACCTATGTGGGTGTTGGCACACATGTGGGCTGGATCCATGGCCCCCACATGTATCACTCCACCCCTCCACAATTCTAGAATTTTGGAAGAGCCCTTTTAAGGGTTTGCTGAAGTTTATTTTAAAAATTATGGAAAACTTTCTAAAATTCACAAAAACATTTATTACATAGAAAAACAAAACATCTGGAAATAGGTTGGTTCCAATGGATCAAGATAAGTGATTGTTAGGGCACTCCACCTGACCCAGTAACTGTGATCCTTGGCTATCTTCTCAAACCAGCCAAACGAGACCCATAACCCACATTTGCATGTAGGGGCTCATAATTGGTTCGTCAAAATTAGCCAATAAATAATGGAACCACAATCTCGAAATGTGAATTACAAGTTCAATACTAGAACGACATTCTCAAAATGTGAATTACAAGTTTGCCCATTTAAGAGGAAGTGGCACGCATATATCACTACAGTACAAGGGGGATTCTCTCTATGTACATGTACACGTATCTCTTTTTCGGGTTGTTTTCCAGCAATACGATTGTGATGTGTACATGCCGTACAAAAGTTTGTGAGGATTTAGCCATCACTTTCACATTTCTACATTTGCACACAAAAGACCACGAAGTTCTCCTAGCTTACAAGCCATCCTTGGGTGTCACTTTGGCCTCAATAAGGGACCCTTTTTGATAATACCATATATCCTGGGGTAAGGGTTTTGAATATGATCAGGGCATGGGTTTTGTTGCCTTTAAAGGCCTAGAGAGCTTGTAAATATAGTAATTTATAACAGAATTTGTGCTTCAGTGGGAGTGTGTGTGTTGACTGACCATGGGTTGGGCGGTTTATGGCCCTGGTTATATCCAAAATCCTTACCTGTGGGCATGTAGTATTATTGAGAAGGGTTTACAGTGGGTCATCCCTTGTTGAGGTCGGAGAAATGCTTAAATGATGGTTGTAGGCCAGGAGAACTGTGTTTATTGTATACGGTTGTAGGCCTGTGAGAGTAGGGGCCAAAGCTTTAAAAAAACTTCTACACAATATGTGCACATGATAGCCGCATTACTGCAAAGCAGCCCCCTATTGAGGGGCACGTGCACGTGTGCATAGCGATGACCCCTTTTGCACTATGGTGATAAGTGCTAGACTTGCTCTTAAAGAGAGGAACTGTATTTCACATCCGAAGATTATGGTTGTAATGTTTATTGTTCAACTTTGAGAAGCCAATCATGAGCAGTGTTTCAAAAAGCGATAGGCAGCACCTAGGCGCCCTCCTTGAACCTGGGAGGCCCAGTAGAATTTTTTTTTTTGGTTTTCTCTTTAAAATAGCCTCTAATGGGTTTTAGGTTTCAAATAAACCTAAAACCCACAACTTTGTCCATTTAGTATCAGAAAAGACCCAAAAATACCCTCAAGGAGCCGCATTGCCCTAGGCGACGGCCTAGGCGGGTTCAGGCGGGCGTCCAAGGATATCCGCCTAGGCGGCCTACCAAGTGCTGGGTGGTCCACTTTTTGAAACAATGATCATGAGCCCCTTCATTTATACTGTGGGTCATGGGTCTTTGTTGGGTTGGATGAGAAAACAGTAGTGGATCAGAGTTCTTGGGTCAAGTGGAGTGCTGTTATAATCACCAAATTTTGGCCCATTGGTATCAGTCCACTTCTAAAATATTTTTTTTGGTTTTAGAAATATTTTTGTATTTGTTAGATTTTTTAATAATTTTAATTTTTTTTCAAATAGGTTGACTGTATTAATAAGGAAAAGAATATACATTTCAAGCTAATCCTAAAGACGGCAGTCCCACATGTTGGGTGCTCAAAAAACATAAGTAGTGAGAGAAGACGTAGAGAAGAAAGAAGAGAGAATAACGAGAGGGGAAAATTACATAATGGGGTAGGTAGAGAGCCCTACATGAGCTCAAAAAGGTTCGTAGCCCCGGTGCCAAGTCTGGAGCAGAGGGCCTAGAGGCGAATGACTTGAACCTCGTAACCCGAGGGCGAGCCATGTGGAAAGGTCAACTTTGACATGCTTGAGACAATCGGGTATGGGCCTCTACTTGCGCATGAAATTACTGCGGCCTTTGAGGTAGCTGAAACCCAATTGGCGACATATTGTGGAAGAAAAACCCCACTGTACTATGCAAAGAGAACCGGGGAGCCGAGTGAGAAGAAAA